AATTGAATGGAAACGTCAGTTCAACTCATATCATTGTGGGAAAATTCTTCTTCTACCAGTCCTTCATCACTTAAACCAAATTGGGTGAATACATCTTCTAAATGAAAGTTGTAAAAGGGCGGCAGTGGGATAAGAGGACAAAGAGTAGCTTGATAGACAATGACAAAAAGAGGAGTGATTGTGTAACCGTTTCCGGCAGAACGGTTGTCGAGGGATTGACTTCACTTGTCTCTTTGACGAGTTCGTGTCTTGGTGCTGAGAATGACGGCACTCACTGATGATGCCGACTACGATGCCAGTGAAACTTTTGAGAATGTATGATGCTGGGAATCATGACAACTACTCTGCCAGACGACTACATAGTCGCCCTGACAACAAGACTACGTTGTGACAACGAGGTCAAGCCACTTTTATACATCGAATTGAGACCACGATCTTTCCAGAAGCCACAACATCTTGTTCTTCTTCGAAGAGTTGTCGTGTGGTGCCAAGACTGGCAAGGCTGACTGAGGATGCCGGCAAAACGGCGAGAATGTACCACGTCGACTGCCCGACTCTGGAAATGATGATGCATACAATAGATTCCGGACTGGGTGTGTTCTTCTAAACCTTCCTACCAAAATGACGAAATTGTGAAAACAAGTTCAAACAACCTCAATTACAATTGCATATTCACCACCAACTTTGACCAATCAAAGTCATCTACGGCCACAAACTAACTAAATCCGCGAAGCCAAAATAAAGATTTCAATAACAGAATGGAACAGCAAACTAAAGGTTTTCACTTGCTTGCAAATAGCGCCAAAATAAAAATAGTCTCGACTTAGTATTTTAGGGAAAAGGGGATAGAATAGATGAACCAACTGGCGTCAAAATCGTATTCTTGGTCAATGAAACGTCAAAAGAGACGAATGAAGTCCATCACTCGACCAACCTTATGCTGACCAGTTGGGTTGGTGCCCATCATTCGGGCCCGGTACATTCACAAATTCCATATACGTCAAGCTCAGACCTTAACTACCCCAACATGGAACTTGCTCCTCCACCCCTTACTTCATCTTATCTTCCCTCTCCTCTTTACCATTGCAATCTACATTCTCTTCCTCCTCCCTCTCCTCATTGTCATCATCATCATCATCATCAAAAACAACAACAACAACAACACAATCCACATCCTCTTTCTTCTATTCCTTCCCCTCCATCTTTTCTTTCTCACTCTACTTCCATCTTCCACTCCACCCTCCTCTTCATTCTTATTTGTCTCTTCTCAACTTCATTCCATCCAACTCCATCTTCATCCTTTTTATCTTCTTTCTGCTCCTCCCCACCATCATCGCGATCTACATCCTCCTCCTTTTCGTACTCATCTGCTCCCTCCTCCTTTCATTAGCAACATCATCATCATCATTATCATCATCATTTTAATCATTCCCATCATTAGCATCCTTTTCCCACTACTCTTTATCTTCAGCAATATTTTTATAATCCTCCTCTTCTTCCTCTTCTCCTATTTTTACTCTCCCAGTCTTTTCTCACCTTTTTCTGTCTCGGATGTCTAAATAAAAATTGTGATTTTTTTAACGTTGTCTTTTAATTTCAATCGTTTTTGCTATTATGGACATTGTTCTTCTTAAAACTATGCCATTAGTAGTATTTTCTTTGGCGGAATTGCTGTTTTTCGGGCCGTCGTCTCTATTTGCATTGTTAATGCCGTCCTTTTTCGGCATTCCCAGCGTTGCCTCACACTCGTTGTATCCACATTTGCTGGGTCTCTGACGGCTGTTGTCGTCTCTGCCGTCATCATTACGATTGTCGTCTAGTATCTGTACCAGATGGACTTTTTTCCAGCCTACCCCACCCCATCACTTCGCCATGCCCTCGTCTAAATGGCGCTCCGATGCAGGCCTCGATTAGTCGGCTGCAATGCTTGCGGTGACTATTTGGATCCATTTCATAAGCTCAAGGTTGACTTGGAAACGTCCATCTTTCGTTGGAGTCAGCGTTGGGTTTGGCTTCGGGTCAGGCATAAAAGGTTGTTATTAGTTTTTAGAAGAAAAATGTCTTTTAGAATTGTGTGCTATTCGGCTTTATGGAATCGGGGCTAACTGGTGGGTGGATGATCTTATCTTCTCTCGCGTTTGTCAGTCGCTGGGCCAACTTGCCTTCAGACCTTTTGGCCGGTGCTAGGGGACACCATTTACGCATGTCTCCGTAGAACGATGCAAGCGCGAGATAGGCTGAATAAAAGGTGGGAGTTGAGTGTGTTTGCGGGTGAAGTCGAGGTTGGGGCTGATTTCTCGAGGCAGCCGAGACAAGCAGTGTGAAAAACGGTGGTAAAACGCGAAACGGGAGCAGCTGAAATTTGTCCTACATTTTCTCAGATTCAGAATTAGCGCCATTTTGGTGTTTCTCTTTTGTCCTGGCAATCATTGCTTACTCCGAAGGAGGCCCGATTGGCGATTGACTAAGATTCAACTCAACCCGATTAGCTGGCACAATTGAGCTGAGGGCCGAATACATATTCAGTATATAAAGTGTATGATGATAAGGGAAATGACAGTTCAATTTTCCCACTATCTGATGGGTAGACCTGGCGTTTTCATTACATTTCACGCATACTTTCTTTCCAAAAACGTTATTCCCCTTAAGCTGGAGTAAATTGAACCGAAGTTTCACCCTTTCTTGGACTTATCTCATACTCACCTACTTATAAACAAATAATAAGTAGTGTATTCGATTGCCGTAGGAAATATAACTTTGCTACACCGACAATACCATCACAGAATGTGATATGGATAAAGTTTGGACTTTCTTAAAATTCACATCAACTTTGAGACTAAAGGACATTCTTGACAGTCTAGCGTGTCGAGATGGTGTGCTGCATTATCACAACTTGGGCTCGAGTCCCGCTGAGGGTGCTAATGAGACTAGTTGAGGCAAGATTAACGCTACAATCACATCTTACCAGGTTAAGAATAAATTTTATGAAATAAAGGCTATGTGAAATTGAATGGAAAAGTCAGGTTTAGCCATCCGGTTGAGGAAAAATTCAACTACCATTATCCTGATCCCCTTAAAAGAAATAGAGAGAATATATTTCATAGAATTGAATAATGTTCACTTTAATTCGTTTAGGGAGATGAAGTTCTGGTAATTAATTTTACATATGCAAGTGGAAGGCTATATTAAATTCAATGTAAACATCAGCTCTACTCATCTCATTTTGGGAAAAATCTACTACCAGTCCTTCATCACCTTAAATGAAATAGTGTGAACACAACTCATAGATCTGATTTAATGGTAGTCTCGGAGCT